CCGTTGTAATTACACATGTCTGGTGGGAATTAATCCATCTAATCCATCTAATCGAGGTAGGTCAACTCGTTCTTAGACCGTCACCGCAGTCACAGTCAAGGTCGTGAGCTTCCAGTGGTCTGTTACCGCAAGCTACTGAGGACCTGTGTAGACTTGGTCTGGGCGGCTCACCTGAGTGATCCACGAAGCACGTCCGCGGTGAACGTCCATGGACCACCCTTGAAGCACACGTGCGCACCCGTGGGTGTAACAATTTCAGCCATCCCTTCCATCCCCTTCCAGCCTTTTCACTCCTTTCTTCCGTCTCGTTAAGGGGAACCGTTGACGGCCCATCCCTTAAGGCCGGGCCATCCGCGGCTCTCTCCAAACCCCCCCGCCATGCTCTTTCTCGGCAGGTGGTCGCCTCCTTGGTCTACGATAAGATGGAGATCAGCACGAACGATCCGAATACCCCGTGCTGCTGGCGCTCTTTTGACTTCTTTCCCAAAGCCGTGCAGCTGTCGGGTCACCAGGGCTGTCGGGTAACCCACTTGACCCTCACAACCCAAAGTTTTGGACCGAAGAAACACATGGTTCGGATCCGGTCCCAGGGTTGAATCGTTTCGTTCGGATCCGCTTTTTCTCCACCGTTTCAGCCGGGACCCGCGTTAAGCAACGCGCCGAGCTCGCTGGCCCCGATCACAACCGCTCTGCCGGACTGGGCAGGAATGGACAGTCTTGCAAAGGCCCCACACTCAAAAACTCTAAACCGCTGTGATGTGCCAGGTATGGGGCGGCACACACTGCGCCGGCGGTGGCTGGGCGTTCACACTTGAGCGTTCGCGCGTACCCTTCCGGGCGGGGTAGAGTAGAGTATGACCTCCTTCCATAAGACTAAGATGTCGCAAGCAGCGGGAGAAGGCAGCAGCATCTTCCAAATCCATCCTGTGGGAAGGCACATGGTAGTACAGTGAGGCAAAACACACGGCGGAGTAGTAGATCGAAGAAGCAGTTGTCTTTGATACCTTCCAACCAGCCGTCCAGAAGAGCCCTGTGAGTCAAGCGAGTGAATGGTGGACTGAAGGAACTAGGGAAGATGCAGCGGGAAGCAAAGTTCTTCGGTCAAAGGCTTCAAGGGGTTTGGAGTTTGGCGTTCCAAGAACCTTTCGGCATTTTCACCATTCCTTGCCTCATGGAAAACGAGTTTCCTTCTAGTGCATGCTTTGGATCGAGTGTTTGTTTTGAGTAGATGGTACAAAGTGTTTGTACCGAAACCAGGTGCGACAAAAATCCAGCAGCCCCATCCTCCAGCAGCCAATTCCAAAAAAGAACGGCCACTTTCAGGAGAGTCCTCCACCTAGTAACCTACTAGCTTCTTGTTCCTTCCTAGTCATGGCCCTCCCAACCGAACAAATCACGATGGCCTCCACCGGTGCGTCGCTCGCGTCCGGTGCGATCCGCTCGGTCCGCTCCGGTGAATCGTTCGCCGAGGTGAAGCTCGTGAAGGGCTCCACCGATCGCTCGATGTGTCCGCGCTCTCGGGTTTTCGCGCGGTGCGATGCGTTCGCGTTTGCGTTCTGTGTCCACCGTTCTCGGTGGGGCGAGAGGGGGAGGGAAAAAAGAAGGAAATGGAAAGTGGACTTAAATAAAACATAAACTTTCTGGCATAACTCGAGGCTGAGTGAGTGGACATGTGAACATCACGCGACTCTTGAGGGTTTCTGGTCGTCAGCAGTTATTTTCCTCACTGCTTGATAGTTGAGGATCGGGTCTGATGCTGTTGATAAAAATGGTACTTGCCGGAAGTTGGGATCTATTCCCAGCAGGACGATCCTCCATGAAGTGCACGCACCGCACCGAGGTCAAGGCACTTCGAACGATGTTCGGGATGCTCAGACGGTGTGCGGGTTGCGCAGGGGTTTTAGGCGTGAAACGATCAAGCCACTAAGACCACTGGGTTTGAGGAGTCTACTGTCAAAGTCTCCCGCAACCGGGGGATGGCGAAACTAGTTCCCAGCATTTTCCATTGGCTTCTTTTAAAGCATTCGGTTGGTGGAAGGGAAAGACCTGGTTGGTAGAAGAAGCTTCTCTTCGCATGCTGCATGTGTCTGAGGAGATAAGAAACTTTTCAATGATCTGAAAAAAGGATGCATTTGCGGTGCATTAGATCCGGCTATCCCATGTACACACGCATGGGTCAAATGCAAGTACACAAGAGTACACCATTTGTACGGGAAAAACCTCTCCCCACTAGACTCGACTCTTCCGTTCATTTTCTACATGCGGTGTGCAACCTACCGACCTTCAGAACCCTCCGTAGCTCGTGCCGTGGCGTCGTCGGCGCAGATGCCGGTGGGCTTGGATGCCTTGGGCAATCCCGTGCGGGGCCACAACGGGGCATCGGCGCACAGCCTGTGCCGCGCCGTGGCGTTGTGGCGCATGGCTGGTGGAGTTGGCGGACGAAGCTTCTCCTTCTCTTCTCGGCAGAGTTGATGATAGGATGACAGGTCTTTTTTTAGGCACGCAGGTGTTCTATAGGAACGTTGTTTCTTGGGTGTTCTAGGAACTTTTAGTTTATAGATTTCTCAAAGTCATGATCTTAACGCCTGAACCCTGCACAAGGCTGTCCCTCAGCGTTCGGTTTTGAGGGACGAACACCCTCATCCTGTCGCCTTTTCTTTTCGCCTCAAGCCCCCTCTTCTCCTCCGTTGACACGCGTCGCTCAATGCGCTTTCAACGCCCCAGGGCGACTTGGGCCTCACGAGCGGCTCGCTCTCGCTGACCAACTCGGGCAATCTTCTCACCAACTCTCAGGTCCCATGGAACCTCCCCCCGTCGCCTGTTTGGACACGGGAGGATGGACGGGGATGAGGGAGAATGGACCGTGTTTGTTTTTGTTTTTTGTTTGGCGAGTTGATGTTTGTAGGTGTTGGAGGTTTGAAGAAGACGACTTAGGGGTTGGAGATGTCTCTGGGTAAAGGGGCTGCTCTGAATTCGCAGAGATTGCAAGTAGAAGCTCTTTTTGGAATAGAGGAAAAGCTGATCTACTAGGACCACTAAGTCCAATGGACAAGAAGGTGCTTTGATGGTAGATTGGAGGGCTCCGAACACTCCATCAGAAATGGGCAGGATAGAGGCACTCTTGATGCAGATCAGATAGATGACAAACACAAAGTATACCAAAGCCCCCTAAGGGGTGTCTATGAATAGCCCCTTAGAGGCTAAGGGGTGTCGATTAACCACCCCTTCTGGGTCCTGGTAATGAATTGTAGATCTCGGTGTCATCAGCAGGACATTGAGTGAAGTTCTCAGAAGTTTCAGCATGTGCTGGACTTTTGAAGTATCTACTCTTGATCGATTGGAGTTCAAGGAACTACAGAGTTTGATATCGTCCCACGATTCAGAGTGTTTGGGTTGGCTTGGAAGGCCGTTCTTCCCAGATGTCACGATTGAACCCCTCTTCCTTCCAAAGGTCTCCTCTCGACCACCGCCCGCTCGGGAAACGCCTTCCGATCTTCCAGCGCGTCCCGCAGAGCGCGTTCGACCCGCAGCTTTTCAGGGGCAAAGAACCCTGCCGATCGAGCTGAGCTGGGGCCGATTTCTGAACACATCGCTCCGATGGTTCCAGAGCTACGGGGTGTAACCATGCTGCAAGACGGCTCCTATATGATCCATCTTTTTTTTGGTCATGGCAATGTTTGTGAGCCAAGTGCCAGGCATGGAACCCAACGAGGTCCCTTGAAACCTTCGCTTCTGAGTCCAGGACAAAGGAGCAACACCTTTCAGCCCTCTTCCACGATGTTCCAGATCACAGAGATCCTTTTCAGAGAAGCCACCGCACATCAAACACCGACGCCCAGAGATTTTCCCTGGACCAGCTACTCTCTATACCCGGGCCCTCTGTTTGGGATGTCTCATAGAGGTATCCAGGGGCCTCCATTCACCACCCCAAACAGGGAGGCTCTGGTATAGTCTTTCCACCATCTCCTCGCTCGAGCGCCATGGCCCAAGTGGCCAAATCGCCCACACAGCGGGAGGCGCGCGCACGTGCTGTGCAGTGCCACGGTGGTGAAGAAGGGTCCAGACCTACTCCAGACCTACTCACTGGCTGTCACGAACCTCCTCTGCCGTCGGACACTTGTAGAAGATGCAGCTATGACCAAGTTAGTGCAGAGGCCCTCGTGTTGCTGTCAGCCCATCAGAACATCCCAGAACATACTCGTAACTCGTCGACTGTCCGCAGGCATGGCCGAGGTCCAACCGGTACGGCTTCCCAGAGAGATACCTCGGACGTCACTTCTTCCTGCGAGTTTCCCAGTGGCGCGAGTGCGAGAGCGAGCGGATAGGAAGTACTTCTAAGGAGTACTTGGGTTTCACGCGTGCAACGCAGAATCAACCTGATCAAGATTGACCATGATTGACCATATTTGGCCATCAACAGCCGGCTGTAGCCGGCAGCGTCTCCGTTTCTCCGCATGCCGTTTGCCTCGTGTGCACTGGACCGACGGGCTTCCGACTGTCCGACCGGCTCACAGCGAGGACAGACATGAGACACGAGGAGTCAGGACACCTTCGGACTGGCTCCGGACACCTGATCTGAAGAAGTGAGTCATCCAAAGACTGAAACCATCTGATCGAATTGACATGAATGTAACAATTCCAGGACCCGACTCGTTCGGGGTGTCTATTTCAAAAGCCCCTTAGCTGTGATTCGGGGTGTCCATTATATAACCGCCCCTTGCGGGCCCTCGTTCCTTCCGACTCTTATTAGCACCCAGGACTCTGTCCCGAAAAGGCGCCAGGCCCAACCAACTCCAGCGTCCTGCGGCCCCACAAAACCTTAAGAGTTGCTTTGGATCATGCACTGCCATGCACCTGATCCCAAAAGCAATTCGCATGCCAGCGCCACATTTCACAGGGCTCCGCGACATGTGCGAAATGCACTGCCATGCACCTGATCCCAGTCGCATCACATCAAAACCACCCTGTCAGAGGGCTCCATCCACCAAAGGTAACGGTCCCGCCACTGCTTGCCACGCGCATCCACGCTCCGCCCTCGGGCCCTTCGCCATGGATCCGCGGGGCGATGCCGAGCTGGCAGACGATGCCGAGCCGCTGCAGGGCGGAGCGGTGCCTTGGAGCGGAGGTGGACGGTTGGACCCCCCCCCCCGCTGGGCTGTCCGGAGAACATGGTTCGCTTTGGCAGGGAAACACTGGTCTTACATGCATGAAATTATGGTTGCGTGCACGGTTTCTTCTGGTGATTTTCCTATGGTCAAGGGTATGCCAGGGTATGCCAGCGTCGGATTCTTCCGGTCCGACACTTGAGAGAGTGGACCCAGCACATTGCCACCCGTGCGTCACGGGAGTGCTCGGCAACGTTCTGAAGAACCCAGGGGTCCGAATCACCCCAGTGGTTCAAAGAAGGACATATGCAAAGATGACCTGGAGATAGATGGTTTATTGTGAAGAATTTGTAACAGAGACCACATGTAGAACTGTAATGAACTGTACAGGTTTATGAATCTTTAGGATGCTTTGCAGTTTCAGCTGACCCACTCGGTTCACAGTCACCAATGGTCCGTAGATTCGGATCGATCCGCGGTCCCGGGAGGTCCCGAGCCGCCGGCTGAGCCGCCGGGCCGTGGCCGCGGCCGTCGCCGGACTCGCCGCCGTGGCGGCCGTGGGGGGCTTCGCGTGGATCGAGCTGCGCGGAGGCAGCGCGGTGGAGGCCTGCGAAGCTGTTGGCCCATGTCGTCGCACCCAGCGAATTCCTGGGCACCCAGCGAAAGGTCATAAGGAAGACGCCACGGAAGAAATAGCACATTCCTGGGGCACCTTCAAGAGGTGAAACCTTTGAAAGGTCCAAAAGGAAGACGATATTCTATGATGGTCACCTTTGGGGCTTGTTCCTCCCTCCATCCCCCTTTTCGGGGCTCCGTTCTTCGGATTTCCCTGATCCGACCGCACCGCGGACCGGAGGTCCATCGCATCGCACCGCTGGACGACTGGGAGCAGATCCCGGGCATCGAGGACTTCGTGCGCCGCGCGCAGGACCTGGAGCTCGAGCAGCCCGCCGCTCGGCACGCGGGAGTTCCGCTCCGCCGGGTGGTCGAGACGGAGTGTGGAAGGTGGGGGATGGGAGAAGGGCGGGTGTTGGAGGGTTTTTTGGAAGCCTTTTTTTTTGTTTTTGACCAAGGGCATGGCCATGGAAAAGAGCTGTTTTTGGTATTTTTTGGTGAATGGTGAGTTACGGCCCTGGCTACGCTTTTTAAAGCAGCAGCTCTTGGCTTTATTTTACCTGCCCCGAAAAGCCAATCCAGGGGTTGGCCATGTACCATTTTTACACTGTATGTCCTGGACTTGTTTGTAGCGTTTATATGCTTTTCCGGGCTATAGGGGATCATCCCACAATCCTGATTGCGATGGCTAGCCACGTGTTTCCGGAAATCAGACTTCCGCTGCATCCATGTGTCCTCCATGTGTCTCCCATTGACCACCAAAAGGCCCCCATCCGACGGAGGGGTCTGGACCCGTGCGCCGAGTGGGGCGCCGGGTGGCTCGTTGGATGAAGAATCCGAGAGAAAGCCCGGTTCTTGGGCATGAAAACATGGCGCGAAAGGCAGTTCTCAAGCAGGATGTCGATCGAAGAAGAATCTCCAGATAGTCGACGCCAGGGCTCTCCCCGAACAATTGCTAGCTGCTGATTAACCCATCGAAGTAGGACACATTTGCCACTAATGATCAATCTGGACCACGTCTCCGTGCCTTTCTTTCTTTGTGCCTTTCCTTCGGATGGAACGCCGTTGACTCCGGCGCGCTCCACGGACGCCGCGTTGAGGTCGTGGTGCCGCTGCCGAGCGCCTGGAACCTCACGGAGTGTGTGATCGACGCCCTTCAGGCCCGTCCGGGACGTGAAGCTTCACCCGTCCGGGAGGGGGATTGAAGGGGATGGAGGGATGGAGGGGATGGGAGGGATGCAGGATTGAAGACATGAGGGTGAACACATGGCCCAGCCTCTGCTCCTCTGCTGGGCCAGTCGTCCCCAAAGGTGTGAAGTCTTGCGACCACGAAAGAGAAGGACTTGCTGTTGAAAGTTGCTACTTCTGATGTAAAAAGTCCTGCAGTCATTTTCTTCCATGGACAGGAGGGCGGTAAATTGACCCCTTCCTCTCTCGTGTGTACCGTCAGTCCAGTTGCTCCTTCAGGTCCTACATCCCTTTTTCTTGATCAATCAGTAGAAACGTGTGAATCAAAGAGTTTGGTGGAACTTGGTGTTTGACCATTCTGAGTAACATGCTGTGAAACTCCATCTTTGTTCAAACATCAATGTCCAAACACCATCAAACACCAAGTTGACACATGTTTGAATATTCTGTGAAACCAATGCCTCGCAACGCTCCTGAGCCCTTGCCGATTCACCTGAGCCTCCAGAAGTCTTCGCGTCCCTCTATCCGCCCCGCTGTGCCGGGAGGCCTATGCCTACTTGGGCCAAGCGATCCTAGAGCTTTGGAGCGCGATCGACGTGGAAGGCGAGCTGAGCTCCGGGGAATCCATTGTGAAACCCCGAAAGCTCTTCCACAGCTCGGCGACGCCGAAAGAATCGATTCCTGGGACGGTTCAGCGGCGCGTCATCGGCGCCATCGGCGGCGTCAGGCAGCAAGTGCCCCGACAACACGCCGGCCGGCTGCTCCGCCCCTCGGTGGGAGAAGTACAAGGGGGGGGGGGGGAAAAATGGTAAAAAGGCGATCGTTTGGAGGAACCCTTTCGGAAGCCTCGGAAGCTTTTCAGAGTTCAGACATCCGGTCGAACCCTCGTCGCACCTGGCCGCCCGTCCTAGGTCTCCGTGTCGGGCTTCTTGACCTCCGTGCCCCTCGGTCGACACGCGTCGCGGTCCGTCGGTCGCGGTCGGTCGGGTGAGACGGTGGGGTCGGTTACGTCACCGTAATCCAAAAGGCCTTTCTGAAGCAAACATTCTGCTGGTCTTTCATTTTGTTTTTTCTCTTAGGGGTTTAAAAAGGAGCTGCCACACCACCAAAAAATGGAAGTGGAGCAGACAAACCTTGCACCTCGGAGAAGATTCCATCTCTGGCCATCTTCCAGCCATGTTGGCGCTTCCATCACGCGCTTGATCCGCCCTCCGTGGATGGTCCAGCCCGCGACCGTCCCGTGAGGTCTTGGGTGGGCGCCTACATCTCCATGGCGGCCAACGCCTGTGTGGCAGTCCGGAGACCAAAGGACCAACGGTGCAACCAGCGGTGTGTACGAAAGCTTCAGAGCTGTGGAAGTGGTGTAAGGGTGGGGACTTACCATCTTCCGTTCTCCTGTAGATGTGTTGGGATTCTTTTGCGGTTGTGAACATTCTTTGGAATGTCGTATGTCCAGGCTCAGTAGTGACCTGAAGAATGAACATGTGCGGCACCAAGAGCTCACTTCGGACGAATGCCACGTGCCTCTTTAAAACAGTAACATCGCCGTTGATAGTTGTGCAGGGATCACCCAAATAGTCTCGGACATTTGGATATTTGAGCGCCGACTCCCACCTCTCACCCCATCTCACCCCATCTCATTCCTTACTCCCACCTCTCATCCCACCCTTTGGCATTTGATTTTGCCCATCTCTCCAAGATGGGCAACCAACAAGCGACTTGCGCCAATGACTGGCTGACTCTCACTTCGAGCTTGGGGGAGATTGCCACCGCCGGAGCCGCAGATCCTTGGACAAGTGACGGCAAGGAGGGTCCGTGGGAAAGGTCCAATGACCTCCCATGGCTGCAAAAGGGATGCCGCAAAAAAAACCACAGCTGAACCAACATCAAAATACCTACTTTGCCCCATGGGCATTTCAATGAAACGCCTTCGGGCCAGAAATTCGGAACTTCCAGCTGTCCCACCGATTTCGGGCCACCGAAACCGATTTCAGTGACCGCATGGACCGGCGGTCTTTCAACCAAAACCAGCTGTCTTTGGCCAGTGCTTGGCGTAGGCTTGACCCGCTGCTCTGCGGGTCCTCTCAGGTCTCGGAGGAGTGCGACTTCAACAAGGATTGGGTGAAGCTGTTGAAGCTCAAGGGTGAGGAAGCCGAGGAGGAGCGTGGACATTCGTTTTGGAGGGCTGCGGGCATTTTTCTCGGGGTTTTGGGGGGGGTTAGGTGTGGAAAGAGGGCAGTCAAGAGGTGGGAGAGCAACGAACCAACTGAGCTGTGTCCATTTCTTACGCCTTCTTTTTGGGTGTTTGTGCCATCTTAAACATGGCTTCGACATGCTTCGACAAAGCAAGCCAATGGATGTTCGAGAGGACCGTGCGCGTAGACCTGGGGGTCTACGACCTGAGAATCCTCAGTCTGAAGTCTCAGAGTGGCCTCCTACCAAGCAACGTACATGATGCCCACTTTCTTTGGACAACTTGTTGTCGAAATCTCTCCACTTGAAGTTCCTGTTCTGCAGCACCTCTTCTTTTGAGTTAAGTTATAATGGTTTTCCATGGTTTTCCAGCAGCGGAACATGGCTCCTTCCATCTCCTTCCGCTTGACGCCTTCCGACTCGGTACCTCTCCGATCCATTCATCTCCTTGGCTCGCCTTGTTCGGGGTTACGGTCTCAGCGGATCAGGACGAACCGGACTGGCGGAAGTTCGTCCCAGCAGGGGCCGGTCCGACGGTGGACACCGCGCTGAAGATCCACGAGCTCCACCGGGCGCGGGCGGACCGGTCGCTGACCGGAGGGGTGGCCGGATGGGGTATTTCTTCACCAAGACCCGGGGGGGGCGTTTCTTTTGGAGCCAGCCTTCTTGAATGCTTCTGGGCATTCCAACATGGAGTTTTGCAGGTTAGAACTTTGGCCTTGGGAGACCCATGCCCAAGGTCCTTTCCCATTTCATACCAGACAGGAAAGATCAATGGCTTGAGAAGAACCCTTGGACTTGTTCCCGTGTACGGGTGTGAGTTGCTGGCTTCTGCTACTCGTAGCTTCAACAAGCTGATTTGTTGCATGACTTACACCGCACTTTCCCCAAGATTTTAGCACACCCCACACACACACACACACACCCACCTGTGACTCAAAAGCAAACAGCCAGGGTCAGCAAACAAGACTTGCCTCCCAGATTTTATAGAACCCGTGATCAGCTGCAAGGCACCAAAGCCCAAGTTGCAGAGCGCACCAAATGCCTGTTGCATTGCCAGGCTCACTTCAACAGAGATATCTCCTCTGCCTTTTGCGCTATGGATGTCACCAATGCTGTCTCATACTTGGTGCGAGAGGCATTGAACAGACAGACCAGACAGCCATGGGACGGTGAGTGACGGGTGTGACGGCGTGTCAACCGTGGAACCGAACCGGGGAAGCTTTGACCAGCACTGATGCATCATCTGACCGAAAGCATTTGAACATATTTGAATGCAGAAAAGACCCGCACTGCAACTGCATACTGTCGGATTCCAAAGACCCAAGTAATGCAGCATGTGCCCATCAATGAACGGCTGGGCAGGGAAACTTGGGGAAGCTTTGTAGGGCCATAGGTAAGTACTTCCAATCTTGGTAGCCTAGCCATAGCTGACCTAGCAGCCTAGTGGGTGCAACGGTGAATTCGTCGGGGTTGAGAAACATGTCAACCGCGTGGCGTGGCATCGGCAGGTGATTCAGATCAAAGTGGCCATCCAATCCTGCCCTCAGCCCACTGCCTGTGCAGTCAGCATCATGACCCTGGTGCGATATGAGGGGTGCAGTTTGCTTTGCTTTGGGTTGCTTCGCCTTTGCCTTTGCCTTTGCCTTGCCTTGCGATGGGTTGCGATGCCTTGCGATGCGTTGCGTTGGTGGGTGGGTGGTTTGGTTTGGTTTGGGCTGTTTGGTTGGTTGATTTTCTTGACAATGTGAGGGTGATCATCCCACCTTGGTCTGCCTTGTTCAGAAGGCCTCCCACCAAACTCTTGTGTTCTGTCAAACACCTCTTGGTTGGCCTCCCAAACCGCCCAGCGATCTATCCGTCTGATCTGCCGAACCGCCCAGAACCAACCGTCGTCCGAGGAACGTTCTGGCCTCCTTCGGGTGGATGATTCGCTTCGCGGCGGTGGGGGTCACGGATTGCGCCCACTCTGACAACCAGAGCCTTTGGAAGGAGAGGGAGGAAGTGGATTTGGTGGAGCTTTTGAGCGTTTACGCACGGTACATCCGAGGCATTTTTGATCATTGTTGAATCGGTGGCATTTACACTTCGAAGAAGACGCCAGCTTAGGACATGTTGGCATGTCCCTTGAATCAGCGGTGGGAAGAGCATTGCTGACAGATCTGTTTGATGACCGCCTCCGTTTGGCTTGACCGTTTGGCATGGGCAGGCCTGTGGGTCTTCCCAAAGAAAACCAAACGGACCGTCCGTGCTTTCCGTCGGGTCGCACGGGTGGTGGTTTTCCCCCAAGGAAGGCCAGCTGCGCAGCGTACATCGCGGACTTGTGCCTTGGGTGGGCTGTTGAGGTGAGGAGAAGGGGAGGCCTGGAAGTTTGGTCCCATCAGTGGCGGCGGTCTTCGGCTGCGCGGAAAACCTCGCCACGGGCGTGGGATCTTTTTTGGGGACAGATTGGGGACATTCGATGAAACCGGAGGTGAGTTTGAAGTTGGTGAAGGAGGATGCTTTCAACTCGATGTTTTTCTGCGACCGGTGCCTGCGCCGTGCCGAACACGCCCAGGTTTGCAGGTATTGTTGATACGCCGGCCACAGGCGCGGCATTCGAGAGCACCGGACCCGGGTGTGGATATGTGAATGCTCCACCACCCCGAGCAGCGCCGAACAGCATAGAGGTAGAACATCCGAACAGCTGCAGATGAGGCTGCTTTTGGGGAAGATGGGGTGCCACAGGTAGGGGGCCAATGGTTGAGTCTTTGGCTATTTGAGCCCCTGGTACTTCCAGTGGCCAACCAAATAGAGCGATTTCAGTGAATTCTCCACAGATGCATTGGGCATGGTGACAATGATCTATCTGGGGTCGCTACGGTTATAGCACGTAATTACCCAACACCCTTTCCACATACCCCACACATGTCTTGACGAAGACATCGTGGACTCAGCTTTTTTTTTTTGTGTGTGTGGGGTCCATCACTTGCACTCGTACTTGCCGTGCCAGGTGTTGCGACGACCCAAGACTGTATCAGCTGACCTCCCGCTGCTTGCGGTGCTGTGCGGTGTGCGCCTGGCTCGACTCGATTCTTTTTCTCTCCGGTCTAGCCTCAAGACTTGGCCAGAGACCAGTTGCGTCGAGTTCCGCCCCTTTTTTTTATCCCTTTCCTTTTCGGGATTGGCCAAAAAGGTGACTCTGCAATTGGATGCAATTGGCTTTTTCAGCCGCTCCTCGAGGTAAGTACTTGAGGTAACTACTCGCGGCGCACTCGTGTGTTTTTTCATGCGAAGGAGGGCTTCTTTTTTGGGGTGGCCTCCGCAGGTGGTATCATACCAAGAGCCTCACCAACTCCAATTGCTCATGGTGAACGCATGCACACTGATATCACCACACAGATTTTACATCAATAGCTTTGCGTAGGACCACTCCGAGAAACAGCTGAATTTCGCTCGATTGAACGTGCAATGCTGCGAGCCGTCCGATTGAGACTCTTCGGCGTATCCGCGAGCTGTCCGCCCAACATCCTCTAGCTGACACGCTGTTGTGAGTGGATGACACGCTGTTCCGCCACAAGTCGTTGAATCACTCAACATGCGCAAGAAACAATGACAACTGGCATGCACGTTTGGGTGTAGTGCACACAAGAACGGACGGCCAGCAGCAAACTGGATTTCTGCCAAAGCGCAGTACTTCATCAAGAAGCGCATACCATGCCATCCAGAATAGGTTGTTTCATTCGCGGTCAAAAAAGACTGGCGCCGTGCACAAGAATGACATAGCCGCAGAAAGAGACTGCGCTGCTGTTCAAGGGATTCGGCACTGCCAATACGCCCGTATCATCCGATGCACGAGCAACCTTGAGGAGTTCTACCCAACGAAAAAAGGCCGTTTAAGCACCTTTTGAATCCTATTGACCAGTTCCCTGTGGCCCCGGTTTTGGTCCCCAGTCAGCTTGGTGACGTGAGGCGCATGAATCTGCTTGTCATCCAGATTGGGTGCTGGCACTTTGTAGCGAAATGCCACTGATGATACAAAGCTCTTTCCAATATTACATGTATATGATGTTGTTACCTATATATGACATTGACAATTCTTCAATACTGGCTCAAGATCAATCGTGGACGGCCCATTGGCTTTCTCAGGGTACGCCTTCGTCTCAAACCTCAGCATCTCAGCCGCTGGGGCCTTGCGCTTTCAACCTTTGTCGGGGCTTCTGCCATGGGATGCCAGTGCCAAAGGTGGTTGGGATTTCAGGACCCACTCGCGCTGGTAAGACCACCCTTTCTTATGGCATCGCAAGAAAGCTTTGCGACATTGGTAGCCTCGTTTTGCTTCAGGTGATTTTCTATTTTCCCTATGGTTAATTTATACAAAACCCCTCCTGGGGAATCTTTTATACTTTTTCCAGGTTCCTGGGAGCCGCTAATCCAAGGTAGCGAGAAGCACATGCCCCGGATGTCCCGGAGCGACCGAGCGGAACGTTTCATCCGCATGAGAGCAGGGCCAGGTGCTGGATATTGCGTCAGTGTGATCGGCCAGGACTCCTTCTTCAAGCCTGGCTCGGCGGACACCAAATGGGATGATCCTCAAGCCATTGATCATCAGAAAGTGCTTGAAGCTTTGGAGGGCGAGATCGATGGGCCCGTCGACTTGATCCTGTTCGAAGGCTTCAAAGCCTTCCACGAGCCACGAATTGTGGAGAAGCTGGATCTCCTCCTGTGGATCGACGTCAAGGAGGTGACCAGTCGCGAGCGTCGCATGCAGGCGAATCGGAAGGTGACCGAGGAGATCTTCGCAGAGATGTGGCAGTTCCATCTGCAGTACGTGGAGCGCACCAAACGACTGGGGCTCTTCCAACATCCGCGGTTTCGAATGCTTGAGGGCGAACTGCCAATTGCTGAAGTCCTCCAGCATGCCATTGATGATCTTTGTGGCTTTGGAATTGTGGACCAAAGACTTGTGGAGAGCGTCCGATCCCGAAGTCGATCCAGAGGCAGAGACTCCGCCTCGGCCCTCCTAGGGTCGACGCCTTCACAAAAAAGATGTGCCAACCCGTCGTGTTGGTTCTTTCAATCGACCGAAAAGGAGGATGGTGGATATTGTTGTAAGAAGTGCCATTGGCGCCACGTGAGTGGATCCAAATCAGGCAAAAACCATGACAGGGTCTGTGGTCGGAGCCCCGCCCCTAAGGAGACACCACAAGCGGAGCCTACGCCGCCCAGCGATCCTTACCCCTTGGAGGAGACCAAAGAAGAGAATGCTGTAAGCGTGGATAGAGGGCTAGAGCCAGATCTTGAAGGCATTCAGGAGAATCCCTTGTTCAAGAGCCAATTTCTATGTGCAAATCCGAGTTGTCACTTTCTGGTGAGCCGTGACTTGACGGATGGCAACTACTGCTGTAAGAAGTGCCACTGGCGTTTCGTCAGCCAATCAAAAAGCGCCAAGAAGCGTCACAACTCCCACTGTGCAAAGATTTACGTGGAAGGCGCAGCTCGAGCTCCACATCGACCCCCTAAGGATCCTTATCCTGTGGAGGAGTGAAAGAAAAAGCTGCAGCAGAGCAGCAGAGCGCGGCTTCGAAGATGGGGGGTTGCCAGTCCTTCATTTCCGGGATGTCCAGGGTTTGTCCGTCTTTCCCTCCAAATCTCTCCATGGTCAGCGTTCAGAGACTTCAGATGCTTCGAGTCGACTGAACGAGTCAATTGATGCTGCAAATCCACCTGTCAACCACAGACCCACAGGTCACAGATACCTCAAAGAGAGGTTCTTACAACTGTCCCCTTCTGACATGGAAAATTGGAACTTGTTTTTTAATGTTTTTTTTTTAAATATATTTGCAACACTCATGTTCGTACCATTTCAGTGACTTGGTAAATTCAACCTGACGCCAAGCTCTGCGACACGGAGCGCGAGCTTTTCGCTCTGGTTCCCAACGACTCCATGTTCGCAGAGACGGGGAAGGGTTGTGATGGGCAGAATTACCAGGGTCCGGGTGTCTATGAATGGCCCCTGGGAGGTGATTCGGGGTGTCCACTCGCCACCCCGACCGTGGGTCCTGGTAGACCATGTTTAGTAGACCAGTGCTTGCAGAATAGATGGCACAAACGCAAAGATGTCTTTTGTATGGGGGTCCAGATAAACCACCTTTTGGGGATTGTGCCATGTACTCTGAAACCACTGTACTGTACCTTTGTCAAGGGTGGATTGTTCCTCTTTTTGTCTCTTTCTTTGTTTTGTTTGCAAGGTCCACTCCTTGATCAGACATGGTCCGCTCCTTTGCATGCCCAAAATCATCCGTTCGGAGATTCCACTTGGCTAGGAACACAACCCTTCTCCGCTTCCTAAGTCTGAACCACTTGAAGCTCGCTTCCCTTCGATGCAACGACCGCTCTTCCATGCAACGGACGGTGGACTTTTGGAGCGCACTCGCGCACTCAGGTCTACTCCGGCTGGGGCCACTCAGTCCGTCCGAACCGGAGGGCCCGGAGGGCCCTCGCGGAGTCGCTCCAGCGGGCAAAAGAAAGAGGTGTTGAAAGCGGTTTTTTGGGGCGGGGTAGAGAACCATGGTGTCTTGAAGAGAGAATGCACAGTGTGGTTGCCGCCTGCTTCTCTTGGGTGATACTCAGCACCGAAAAACCATGAGGGAGCTCAGGCCATGCCTCTTTGAAACTGTATCGCCAGGAACATTCACCACGGACTTGAGAGAGTCATCAGACACTCAAGAGCCAATGTGTGCTTTCGCCTCTCATACGAGGTAAGCCTCCTGACACAGAACCCGTGCCTCGCTCCCAACGTCGTGAACAAGTGCCAGGTCTTCTTGGCGAGTCCCAGGTCCCATCGGTCATTCGTTGAGGTTTGTTGAATGAACTACATGTGTTACCGTGTGGGTCGTTTTTTGGTTATATATATATAAACATACACACACATACATATTAAAAAAATATATATATATATATACACACATGCATGTATTATATATATATATATGTTCATGTAGCATCTTTTGCGTTGCTCTGCCGGCCACAGGACGACCCCACCACCACCAGGTCGACACCAAACTCTCCCGGTGCTCTCCCGGTGGCACCTGAGGCTTCCACTCCCACCCACCGGGCGTCCGGAGGCCGTGGCTGGCACGGGGGTCCCAGGTGGGTCGCTCCCTCCTTCGATGGGAGGTGAGAGGTGGGTTTGAGGTGGGTTGAGGTGGGTTCTTTTCTTGAAAAGATCGCCGAGTTGGAGTGAAATTCTGAGTGCGAGGTCCCTTTTTCTTTCTTGACCAAGGACGGTGTTGAAGGTTTCTGTGATCATTTTCTTCCACAGTGATCAAACAGGTGAAGTTTCTCCTGCTTCGTGTTCCAGCGGGTGGCGTCGTTTTCCCCTGACCCCCTGCTCCGAAGATTTCCAGGAGATGGAAAAGGAAGGGGTTGTATATTTCGGCAAGGAGGTGTTTGAGAGTTTTCTGTGCCGCTAGCATCAATGACTTAGTCAATACATACACACGTCACATGTTCCAAAAAGGAATTCAAAAGAAAACCACCCAATTCTCCCAGAAGATTCGATCCTTAAAGGCTTTGCCAAGCCATCGAGACCTGCCAGGGATGCGCTTGGCGCGCCTAGAGCCATCGAGACCTGGTGTTGTGCAGATGGTGGGATGGGAGCGAGAGGATTGAAACCACCCCACCTGCCAAGGAGCTTGGACTACATCATGACGGAATTTCTGCAGGACTGTGGCCCCTCAGTATTTTTTGAACCTTCATGCTGAGCAGCATCAAATCTAATTACAATGGGACTTACTGACTTACTGTGTTGGAGAGGCACTCGAAGTACCAGTTTGACACCATATCTCAATCTATGGTATCGACCTGAGAAACCAAACAACCAGAAAGAAATGGATGTTTCCCTAAACAACCACGTAAATGATTTCAATTGCCATATTGGAACAACCATTTGTTTCTGGTTGTTTGGGGTTCCAGGCAAGGAAAGCGCTGTTTGGAACCTGATGACTTTTGGGCGCTCTCTGAACACGAACGAGTGCGGCTTGCATAGAATCTGTTGGGAGTCCTATGGTGCCTCGGTTTGTTTTGTTCGCATACCGGCCCAATGATGGACATGTTCCAAATTTCCAGTGAGTTTCTCGTAGGTGCCCCACTTTTTAGAGTCATACACATGGGGAAGCAACATCCGCAGGAGTGCAAAAAAGGCATCGCAGTCTATTGGGTCTATTGAGTCTACTGGACTTTGGAATTGCTAGGGAGTTTTTGTCTTGCACACCTTGCGGAGAAGATCACACTTGCGGGTAACACGTCCGCCAGAAACAACGTCTTTGAG